TTCTCCAGTACATGGACTATTGCTTCACGGGTGTTTTTGCCTTCGAAATGTGCCTTAAGGTTCGTTGATTTGGTTATCTTGCTCATTTGAGTTTAGCACATCACGAGCTGTAAGAAATGGTTTAGGATCGTCTACAGAATTAAAAAGAATAGTTGAGTAATTGCAGTTCTACTGCCGCTCTTTGGTAAAGAATTTAAGAATTTGGATTACTGCTCAAAAATGGCTGTTCGCGATTAAGAACGCCATATCTTTTAAGGAGAAAATAGACTTTGCATCATGTAGTTCTAGTTCACATTCAAGCCGATGGCATCGGACTATTCAAAGGCTACTGTAGTTTCGGAAGATTGCTGTGGTTTCAAAAGGTTACTGTATTCCTCAAGATCACGAATTTGCTTCATTTCAGTTGATAGACCAGGGAGTATTGCTGCATCCAGGCTCATATTGCCGTGATTTCTGGAATTTACTGGATGGCATTGTCGTTTTCTGCGCACTCATAGCCTTTGCATTCGCGTAAGCTTCTTCATGATAAAAAGAGGGAATCGAGTGCTTATAGCGCAGTTGAAATGCTCCTAAAGTGGAAATTTTATCACTACTGCTTATGCAAATGCGAAATGGCATATAGCAATGATCCATGGTGTGCATGTGTGTTTGTGTGGGTGTATATTTTTGTGTTCATCTGTCCGGGTATTTCAGCTCGGCAATAACGGGTACTAAAACTTTGCCACTGAGTTTCCAGGCCATGCATGAACCTAGGGACGTGGCTTAGGAAAGCTCCTCAATACAAATAATTATACCCAGATTTAGAAAAATTTCTAAAAACAATACAGATTACATGAATGTGCAGGTGTTGCGTATGAATGGATAATACTTTGCGTATGAATGGAAATACTGTAAAAAAAACTTATGGAAAACAGTATGTTTAAAACAAACATCTGATAAAAGAAATATTTCAGTGGAGCTGAGGGATCAGCTGGAAAAAATCTAAATACGATCAAGTCGCTAAGAGTGTTACGAGTGCTGAGGCCACTTAAAACAATCAAAAGAATACCGAAATTAAAGGTACTAGAACTAATTTTGTTATGTTTTTAATGAATTATTACTTAAAATTTATTTGGATTAAGCCCCCTGGAAGGAAAGCCATATTACTGACTGACAAGAACCTTGCGAATTTCGGCCGCAGTCCGGGAAAAAGCTGTTGTTGACAACAGCTTTTGTAAATATAAGCCACAGTCGGGGAATACAACATATCAAAGTCAGAACATCTTCATGTTTTCATTCTCTGTGAAAAGTCGATTGAAGAAGCAGTCTGAGGGTGGCAGTACACAGTAGTAGCAGCTGCACACTGCCAAAGACTTTTCTTCGAAAACACTATCCATTAAAACCCACAAATTATAGTGCATAGTTTGGCTACTAGTAGAGTACCAAATATTATGTCGTTTTTTTAAAACGAGTGATGGAACTCAAAAAGATTCACTGATGTGTGTATGGTGCGGCGAAATTCCTACATCTTGTGGTTTTATAGATGTCTTGCTTCTATTTTTATTATAC